CTTGAACCTGGGAGGCGGAGGTTGCGGTGAGCCAAGGTTGCGCCGTTGCACTCCAGCCTGGGAGTGGGACTCCGTCTCAAAAGAAAACAAAACAGAAAAAACGCCCTAACAGCTCTCTTCATGGACGCTTATGTTGTGTAGGCTTCCATGCAGTCATCTTTCATTCATTGAGCTACCTACTCTATCCTTGTTCTCATGGAGTTTACGTGCTGCGCAAGGAGGAACCAGACAATAAATAAGCAAGTATTAGGCATGTAAGGAAAGGAAGCAGAATAAAGGAAATAGAAAATGAAGAAAGGGAATAGAGGAGGGATAAACCCTGTTGCTTGTTGTGTCTCCTGCAGGAAGTGAGGGATTGAGATGAGCTTGCTCGGAGAATGGAATAGAAAGTGCCCTGCCCTAGGGTAGGTCCAGCCTTGTGTTTGTGTGATCAGCATGAGGAAGAGTTTAGTGAGAGACAGTGAGGCCAAGGAGGGGCAGGGCCTCATAGACCTGCTGAGGTTGCACCTGTGTGCTGTGTGTGCGTCTGTGGGACCCAGAATAAGGGTCAACTCATTTATGGTCTGACTGGAAAGAGGACAGCAGCACTTTGCCCTGTTTAAGGGAGTTTGTGTTTTTCCCACCTTCACATCTTGGCTTTGCATATACAAAAACTAATTTAGCAAGATTATCTGTTGTGAGCTGTGAACTGACTTGCGGAAAACTCCAAGAAGGAATGGTAGACTCCTGTCTCAGTGTTTACGTTTACTGTGAGAACTACATCTGACTTAACCAGATTGTGTCCTAACCAAATCACAAAAGGACTAAATTGTGAATTAAAGCAAAGGAATTGGATGTTTTATCAAGTTTTGGAAGCCTGAAGAGTCATACTTTGTACCTTCAGGGCTGTAGGCTACCTGGTATCTACCCAGCCACCAGGACCAGCGCCAGCTGTCTTTGGGGTGGTCCTGGAAAAGCCCTGGAAGATTGGGGCATCAGAACTCTTATTGCACACCTTCAGCGACCAGCTGTCTTCAGGCACTCACATTACCTCTCAATTTCTACTTTCTCAGATGGGCAGTGGGGGTCAAGTGAGGTAAGAGGCACTTGGCACCCTACGATGTGCAGTACGACCGCCTTCTGTTCTTTGCGTAGGTTTCCTGTTGACCCACACCTTGGGTTCCAAACCCCCATCGGGGAAACACACATTCATGGGACCCTTGGAGAGTCATGGCTCGCTCTGTGTCAGGTACCGTGCGCCGCTGGTGCTGGGATGGCTGCTGCAGATGGATTTCATTCATGATGCAGGAGCCTTTGCTAGCCCCACAGCCTTTACTGTCAGCATTCTCTTTCTGAGCTGCTTTTTTTTTTTTTTTTTCCTGATTTTAATATCTTTTTCATAGCATGTCTTACGTTTTAGTCTACTGTGGTCTTTTACAGGGATATTTGAATAGTGTAGTAAATTAGAAAGTTACTAATGGGGGAATGAGTTTACTTTGGGGTAATAGCCTACAGAGTCCGCATCACCCTGAATGTTGACGCAGCTGAAATAACACCGGTGTTGTCAACTATGGATCTTGTTTCATTATAACAAAATATTGGAGGCTCACAGCTATCATCCCAGCACTTTGGGCGGCTGAGGCAGGTAGATCACCTGAGGTCAGGAGTTCAAGACCAGCCTGACCAATATGGTGAAACCCTGTCTCTAATAAAAATACAAAAATTAGCCAGCGTGGTGGTGTACACCTGTAATCCCAGCTACTTGGGAGATAGGGAGAATCGCTTGAACCCAGGAGGCAGAGGTTGCAGTGAGCTGAGATCACGCCACCGTAGTCCAGCCT